GAGAAGGAGAATCGTTTCAAGATATTCAAAGAAAATGTGGCGTTTATAGAATCATCCAATAATGATGTGAACAAACCCTACAAGTTAGGTGTTAATCAATTTGCAGACCTTACGAATGAAGAGTTCAAAGCCTCAAGAAATGGATTCAAGGGGCATGAATGTTCCACAAAGACGACTTCTTTCAAATATGAAAATGTTAAGGCGCCAGTGCCAGCTACAATGGACTGGAGAAAGAAAGGAGCTGTAACCCCCATCAAGGACCAAGGCCAATGTGGTAATTAAGCATCTAGGTTCATTATTATTAATCATTTATAGTAACACTATATACTCTTCTTTTGGAGTTTAGTAATATTTTTATGTTATTCTAACTACTATTAATTGCAATGAAAAAAATAGGATGTTGTTGGGCTTTTTCGGCAGTGGCAGCGACCGAAGGCATTACTCAGCTTACAACTGGTAAACTGATCTCTTTGTCTGAGCAAGAGCTAGTTGACTGTGACACCAGCGGTGAAGACCAAGGTTGTGAGGGTGGCTTGATGGATGATGCCTTTCAGTTCATCGAACAAAACCATGGGCTTAGTGCGGAAGCTAATTACCCCTACAATGGTGTTGATGGTTCATGCAATACCAAGAAGGCAGCAAGCATTGCAGCCAAGATAACTGGCTATGAAGATGTGCCTGCAAACAGCGAAAAAGCCCTTCTAACCGCTGTTGCTCATCAACCAGTTTCTGTTGCCATCGATGCTGGAGGTTCCGATTTCCAGTTCTATTCAAGTGGTGTCTTTACAGGATCCTGTGGAACGAGCCTTGACCATGGGGTTACCGCTGTTGGTTATGGCGTTAGCGATGATGGGACTAAGTATTGGTTGGTTAAAAACTCATGGGGTACAGAATGGGGCGAAGAGGGGTACATAAGGATGCAAAGAGATGTTGAAGCAAAAGAAGGTCTATGTGGCATTGCTATGGAAGCCTCTTACCCCACTGCTTAGCTTAAAATTAAACCAATGCCTACTATATGATTTGTAAGTACTATGATATGTACTTGTATGTGTAAAATACTTTATTAAGATATGTACTGTGGCTGTAAGAAAACTTAGCCATTTGTGAAAAGCTTTTTCAGTTTCTTTTGTTGGATTATCAATACCCTGATCAATTTGGAATGGTAAAATCACTGGGTTTTTAAAAGAAACAGATATTCTTCCCAACTGTTAAATATTAATGCACACTTGTGTGAAAAACTAGAAAATTTTAGAATAATTGAGAGAATTATCAAGTAAAAGATGGTTAACTCTTACTAGAACCATCTAATAATTATCTATTGTAATTATAACTAGAGAAATCTAGAAAATGACTTTGGATAAGTCTGCTACTGTGCAACCGACTTGTCCAAAGCAAAGTTGCCGACTTAGCATCCCTATAAATAAGCCTATAGCCTCTCAAAGTAATCAAGCTGAAAAACTACAGCTGTCCAACTCAAGCAATCATCAAACTCAAGTATTAAAGCTTTGTACCTTTCCTACTTCAATCAATAGAATAAAACTACTTTGTGACCTCTTTCGAAAGTTTTCCATTCCAAGTTAAGCTATTGTCCTAAACACTACTAACCATTCTCTAAACCTCTTCTCCCTTAAACTAACAGTGGTATTAGAGCTCGTTCCGATCAACCTTGGGCATTGGTTCAATCTAGTCCTCCATCATGTCTACCACTAGCCAAAACTCTGACCCTCTTCCTATTTTCATTGGAGAAAACTATGACTTCTGGAGTATTAAAATGTAGACCTATTTTATGTCTCAAGATTTATGGGACATAGTTGATAGTTGCTTCAATAATCCAGAAAATCCAACCGTGGAACAATTGAGGCAACTAAAGAAAGATCAACAAAAAGATGCAGAGGCCTTATATGCCCTGCAACAACCCTTGCATAATACGATTTTTCCAAGTATCATGGGTGCCACAACTGCAAAGGAAGCATGGAATACCTTAAAGGAGGAATTTCAAGGCAATGCCAAGGTACGTGCAGCTAAACTACAAACTTTGAGAAGAGAGTTTGAAAACATTAAAATGAAGGATTCTGAGACCACACAAGACTATTATGCTAAAATAAAAATAATAATTAATCAATTGAGAGCCTATGGAGAAAATATTAATGATTCAAGAATTGTAGAAAAAATACTTATAAGTCTTCATGATAAGTAGTTTGTCAGTGACAAAACTAATGAGCTCTCTTGAAGTATATGAGAAAAGACTGAGTAGGCGAAATGAAAATTCAGTTGAAAGCGCCTTTGGGCAACATATCGTGATATTATCGATAATATCGCGATATGAAACTGAAAAATAAATGAAAATTGTTGAGAAATCACGCTCTTGCATTCAAGGGGATTTGAAACCCTCTCTTTCCCATCCACCTACTGAGCCTTATCCAACCCGCTGCGGATGAGTTTGTTAATAAAGCTACGACGTGTAATATTTATATGGTCTTCAAAATTTCTGCAAGCTAATATTATCTAGGATAAATTTCCATATATAAAAAAAATTCCATAAGGATAAATTTAGACATATGTTTAATGTTATTTATTATTTTATTATGGAGTTGTATTTTTTTTTGGTTATATATTATGGAGTTGTATTATTATTCACTATTGAGTTTTAATATTGTTCATTATATGTGATACTAAGTTTTAACTTTAATATGAATTCTTTCTATGTGGTACTAAGTTACTCATATATTTTTTTTTTGTTATTTTTATTCAATTTTTATCAATATCGATATTTCCTCGATATTTCCATCGATATATCCGTATTTTTGGACCACCGATATTTCCGAAACTCTCGATATTTTAGACCTTGGTAAAAATATGAACCACCTAGAAAAATATTGTTGGTTATGTGGCAAGCCCAAATGTCGAAATTGTAAAAAATTTGGGCACATAGAAAAGAACTGTCGGACCAAGAACTATCAAGCTAATTACTCAGAAAAAAGTGAGAAGAATGAGCATGTGTTTTATGCTCATCAAGCCACACCAGAAGGAACCAACAAGAAATGGTATATTGACAGCGGTTGTGGTAACCACATGACTGGAGATGTAAGCATCTTCTCCAACATAGACAAGTCTGTAAAATCCCAAGTAAAATTGGGAAATGGAACATTGGCGGAGACAAAAGGAAATGGTACAATCTCTATCGAAACTAATAAATGAACTAAATATATTAAAGATGTTCTACTAGTACCTAGCCTTGAGCATAATCTATTAAGTATTGGACAAATGATTGAAAATGGATACTCTCTGCACTTTTCCAGAGACTCCTACACGATAGTCGATATTCGATAAAAGAAATAAAAATCACATAATAACAAAAGTAAGGATGGAAAATAGAAATTTTCCTATCCACTGGCAATTTGTAAAAGCCACAGCCATGAAAGCAGAAGTAGAAGATTCATGGTTATGGCATAAAAGATTTGGCCACTTTAATTTTTATGCACTAAAAACTCTTTATCAAAAGAATATGATGAGAGACCTTCCAAACATAAAAGAGATCCATGATGTCTGTAAAGGTTTCCAACTTGGCAAACAACATCGACAAGCATTTCGATCTGGAAAGGCTTGGAGTGTTGGAGCTTGTTCACACAGACGTTTGTGGACATATGAGGACTCCAACTCTTGATAACAGATGTACTTTATTCTGTTCATAGATGACTATACTAGAATGACGTGGGTTTATTTTCTACGAGAAAGATCAGAAGTATTTAATATCTTCAAAAAATTCAAAACCCATGTTGAAAAACAAAGTGGCCACTATATTAAAGCTCTAAGAAGTGATAGAGGAAAAGAATATACCTCTAAAGAATTCAACAAATTTTGTGAAGATGAAGGAGTAGAGCATCAACTAACAGTTGGCTATGCCCCTGAACAAAATGGAGTCTCTGAGAGAAAAAATAGAACTGTGATGGAGATGGCAAGATCCATGATATTTGAAAAAGGCTTACCAAACACATTCTGGGCAAAAGTTGTATATACAGCAGTATACTTGCTAAATAGATGCCCAACAAAAGGTTTACAAAATAAGACTCCTATTGAGGCTTGGAGCAATATAAAGCCATCAGCAAAGCATCTCAAAGTATTTGGATGCATTTGCTATGTGCACATTCCTAAGGAAAAAAGACAC